ATTTTAACGTAAAGGTTTGTATATGTGTGTGTGTGTGTGTGAGAGAGAGAGAGAGAGAGAGAGAGAGAATTTTGGGGGTTCACCAGAAATTTTGTTTAGGGTCAACCCAAAATTATTATTTTTTCTGTATGGCCAGAAGAACCCCTCCCAAAATCAGTTATTCACACAGCTCTAGCTAGGGTCTTTTCCATTCCTCTCTTTCTTTCTTAGGTGATTGTGATGGATTTGGAGCTGCCCTGTGATAATTTATGAGTAATGTATGTTGACCTATATAAGGGACCAGGGCATAGGCAGTCTGGCTTAGAGATCGCAGCTGGACTGGGGTCCACACATTGGGGCAGTAGTCTGTGAGCAGGGTTTGGAGGAATCACTAGAAAAGTCAGGGTCATAGTCAGGCTGGGGTCAGAGACAGTACCAGGCTGGAATCAGATTCAGGCCAGAACTGGAGACCGGAGATCAGAGGTAGATCTGGGGTCCCAGAAAACCTGAAAACCATATCGTTGCCCAGGCAACTCCCTGGGCCACCCTCCAGGGTGAAATAGGGCACTTGGCCAATCAGCACGCTGCAGGGTACCATTACTCTGGGTCCTTTGGGCGGTACTTCCTGTGGCGCTTACTGTCCACAGTGCTCCCCGGCTACAGCACTTCATTACTTCCTGGGTGGCATTGTGGGACCATCAGCTAACCCATGCTCTGCACACCTAGGGTGTAGTCCACAGATCCTTACAGCCTGGTTATTGGGATGTTATTTAGTGTATGACTATATTGGTTAAAGTTAATAGAGTTTTTTCTGGATGCAGGCAGGAAGGAGAAGAACGGCTCAAGATAGCCTCCTATCAGCAAACACTTATGAGTTGTTAAGGGATGATGGCAGAACTATTAGCTTTGATGAGACTCTCTGTCTCTGACCAGCCTTCAACTGGTTTAATGAGGAATGACCAAGGCCTGCCAAACGCAGGGGAGCAAAGGACTTGGGCAGAAGGGGGTTAAAGAAGAGCAGTCGATCAGGGACAAAGGGGGTGGGAGGGTGTGGAGGTGGGACCAGACTCAGACACAGGTACAGGAGCCTGCTGGTGTTGTATGGAGAAGTTAGGCTAGGGGCTTGTCTACATGGCAGGATAATGAGCTGTATGGGGGTTCTGGTTTCTAAAGTGTACTAATGTGTTGTGCATTAATTGGTCCATGCAGACTCTGCTGTGGTACACTAAAATTTCCCTAGTGTGCTTTAACATAGAAAAACAGCATGATGTTAAAGTATACCTACAGGGTCTACTTCAACCAGTTAGGGCACTTTACAAATCACTCCCCCAACTCGCCGTAGTGCGCATTACCTCACTGTATAGACAAGCTCTAGGTCTTCATTATGGGATGGGATGGCTTTAGGTAAGAGAGACACACATGTAGACTGTTGTTTTAAAATCCTTTTTCTCTTATGCTTTGATCCTACTGCTAAATAAACAATACTTTTGTTTAAAAAGGCTGATTGGTCACCATATACCACTGGTCACTGGCTCCTGAAGGGAAGAATCGTAGGTGCCAGAATTCAGTTGGATCTGCAGGGTAAGAACAGTTAATACACATCGTACTGTAGCCCAGGTCATAGTCTGAGAGTGGAGGAATCGTGTGATTCTACCCTGAGGCAGGTAAGAGCACAAGACCCAACCACGTGGACATGTACCTCGAGAAACCAGAAAGGGAACAGAGCTGCAGCTAGCCCTATAACTAGAACAACTGTATTCTAAATTGCTACATTTATTTATGCTTTAATGTTCACTACATTTTTTCAATAATTTTAAGCATTTGATTGTGGTCACTTTAATTTTGACCACAATCTTTACCTTTTACCTCCCTTCAGCTGCTCAACTCAATATAAAAATGAATTAACATGATTTTTAATGCTCCTGGACTTACTAGTATTGGCTTCATATACTCTAGTTGAGTTCACAGCCCAGATCTTATTGATTTAAATAGGATAATGATCAAGCTCCTTGTTATGTATTTTTTATGAATGTCAGAAATGAATCTTTATGTTCAAATAAAAATGGAAACAGGAAACCCAAAGCTGAAGCAGTGCGCACATGTTTTGGAACTAAATCCTCTGTGGAAATAGAAAATGAGGTCTAAAAGTGGAGCAGGAAGGTCTACTGCTGTGGATGATTGTGTACGGGGGGAAAATGTGTTTAAACTGCCTGTTAAATCAATGTGGATTTATCCCTGGGGCGGTGGGGTTGGGATTAAACTGTGTATAGTTTTACACCACTGAAGTTGTTTCAAATTGCTTACTGAGATGCCTTGTTACATCCTCTTATTAGTTGCTACCATGATCTATGACATTGCTTTTCTCCTTTGGTGGGAGGTACACTGGTTTTTCTCTGGTGGGAACTGTAGAGGGTCCAGGTAACCAGGAAAGGGAAATTGAGTCAGTAGGGGAATGGGAGGAGGACAGATGCTATGATTCAGAAGAGGGGTGGGGTGTGGTGAGTTGCAGAGGGACAAGATTAAAAATAAATAAAGCCAGTTACACCATTTTTGTACTCACATTAATTTCTAACAAGTTTATATGGGACATCTACTGTACACCAATGTTTGGCACATTTCATGCTGAATTTGTCCTCGTTGGGAATTTAAAACAAGACAAGAGCGGCATCCACTTATATCTAGCCTATGTTTGGCTGGCTGAATGGGATTGGTGGCAGTGACGTAGCAGTCAGCAGCCTCTGGTTTGATCACTTTTTGTCTTTTATAACTTTCTTACAGTGCCTTGGCTCTCAATCAAAGCTGCTTTTTTCCTTAGATCACCCGCAGTGGAGACAAGCAATTCAAATATCGCCTGCACTCCCCCAGAGGATGACTTTTCCTTCCACCACAGCAGTTCCCAGAATGGGATTGGATTGAGTGCACTACAATCTCCAGGACTTTGTTCTGTCAAGATTTAAATGATGTGACGCCTCACTATTCCATAGCTTATTATCTCACAGTTAGAACACTTTTTGTGGATGTTGCATCTAAATTCTCCCTTACCTAATTCCAACCTGTCACTCTTAATGCACTATCACACATAGTTCTTCAGTTTCTTTGATTTACAGCCTTCCATGTGATTGTTCCCTAATCCCACCCACCTGGACAGTAGGCATTTTTGTTACTCTTCTCTGAATTCCTTCTAGTTTGTTGACCTCTCTCTCTCTGGAACTGTGAAGCTCAGAATGAAAATAACGACACTGTTGTGCCAAAGAATTGTGGGGAAGCGTTTCTCAGCAATTTTGTTTAAGTGCAGTTTGTTTTGATATTTTTATTACAGGGGTTCTTTCAACTTTTGGGAATGGCTATGTTCTTTATATGTCCTTGAAACGGAAGAAGAAGCTCAGACCTGCTGAGATAATGACTGTCAATTTAGCCGTGTGTGACTTGGGGATTTCAGGTAATTCAGTGTTTTATTTCTTCTTTTACTTTTCCTGCCTTTTTATTTTTATTTCTTTTTGGCCATGATACGTGAGGCCAAATTCTACTCTGCGTTGTGCAGATGGGACCCCCCCATATGACAGTAGGAGCCTAGGGTGTGCTTGTGATAACAGAACTCAGCCCATACTGTTTCTATTCCATTGTTTCCACATTTTAAAAAAAAAGATCAGAAAGAGTATAACAGAGCAATTTTAAGGAGGTACAAATCCTCTGGAAAGAGAATGAAAATGAAGAGAAATATGAGCTATTCCAGCGATCTTGAATCAGGCAAAGGGCCCATGCAGGTTCAAATCTCAGAAGCTCACATTGTACAGTTTGGCATGATCAATATAAAACAGCCCTCATAACAGCTGAAGAACACTATATTTCAGTTCTACCAAATGTTATATATATCAGGGATATAAACACATACTGAACAAACCCCGTAGAATGAGGGGTGAGGAATGTCGAGGGCTTTGAGATGTTCAAATCTAATAATTTTTTACCTAGTTACCCTTTTAAGACTGGGACACTGTCTCTTTTCCTTCCTATAAAAAGCCATGCTCTACTGTCCATGTCAATTTGTAAAGAAGCAGCAACCCAGGGAAAGACCCATATGCCCAACTCTCAATCTGAATATGTTTAGGGGTGAGAATAGACACCCTTTAGAAGACTGCAGCACTCTGGAGGTACCTAGCTCTTGGTGATACTTTATTTTTTAATCTGATGCTTGTGCAATTCTCATTACACTCATGAGAGGTATACATAACCGGGGAAGAAGAACTGTACACCCCTTTTGAAAAAAATGGCTTGGACTGCAGGAGCCTGAGGAAATCCACCTGAAATCCATACCTGATATTCACCCAACTGACTACAGGGTGTCATCAGTGTGGTACAAATGATAGCTTAAAGGAACAGGCGGCTCCAAACTTTGTTAGATCCCAGTACTGTTATATCTCATTTGTTAATACACCTTAGGTCTGGTCTACAGTAGGGGGGGTGTCAATGTAAGATACGCAACTTCAGCTACGGGAATACCGTAGCTGAAGTCGACATATCTTATTCGGACTTACCTCCCATCCTCACGGCGCGGGATCAATGGCCGCAGCTCCCCTGTCGACTCTGCTATCGCCGCTCACTCCGGTGGAGTTCCGGAGTCGACGGGAAGCGCGTTCGGGGATCGATATATCGCGTCTTAACGAGACGCGATATATCGATCCCCGATAAATCAATCATTACCCGCCGATACGGTGGGTAGTCTGGACATACCCTTAGAGAAAAGTCATTGTCATTCCAGGAAATGGCATGATTGGGTCTGAGGATCTGTGAAAGCTCATGTTTTCTGTCTGAGTGATCAGCCTGTGGATATACAAATAAGTTTCCGCTGTGGGATTTGCTTGTTTCTAAGAGTGTTAGCATAAAAATGTCTGCTCTAGTGTCAAGATAAACCCCTTAGAATGATTCATTAGCTGTTTTCCATCTGTAGCACTTAGAAATGCAACAAACGAATTCCAGATAGGCAAGAAACTACTCCAGTCTCATACATCAATTATACCCTGTGAATCCAACTCATTTAATAGTGAAATATCAGCTTGCTGGTGACATTTGCAAACATGCATTCATTTCTGATGCCATCTACTGGATAATGCATGCCTGTAGTGTGCAACTCACAGTATGTTTAGAATTGTGATTAGAGCAAGCATTTTACGATCAGGACTTCTGGGTTCTATTCCCAATTCTAGTCCCTGTTCCCAGACATAGAGTATGATCCTTGACCAAATCAATCTCCCTATACCTTTGTGTAAAAGGCCTATAATTACCATGGATTGAATACTTTGCAACAAATAATTAATTTGATTAGTTCAGCCTTTTTCTGCTTATGTAATGCTGTGACTAGCACAGGGCAAAATTGTTCGGATGAATAGTTTATTTACTGAAAAATACAATTTTAATCAACCAGAAAATATTTGCAAATTTGACAAGTTTGATCTTACTCCTGGGCAAAAGGCAATTTACCTCACTCTACCCTATGTTTGAAGATGCCTACATTATCACTGATCTCCCCTCAGTGTTCTGTATTTTGAGTAAAGATTTTTTTTTAAAAGATTATTTTGACAGCATCAACTTTTCCAATGACTCATTGTTTCCCCTCTTTGTAGTTGTAGGAAAACCATTTAGTATAATTTCCTTCTTCTCTCACCGATGGGTGTTTGGCTGGCTGGGCTGCCGTTGGTATGGATGGGCTGGCTTCTTCTTTGGCTGTGGGAGCCTTATCACCATGACAGCTGTCAGCCTGGATAGATACCTGAAAATTTGTCATTTAACTTACGGTAAGAAGGAAATTTGCATTGAGTGACACTATATAGCGATTTTCTTTCCCCATCCTCACTGGAGACTTGTATAGAAGCATTAAGCTGAAATGTATAAGAATCATGTTCCCTATTCCTAGGGTGACCATATTTCCCAAAAGGAAAGCGGGACATTGTGCAGGGCTGGCCCAAGCCGTCCCCGCCCTTCCCGTGGGGCTGGCCTGAGCCCTGCCTGCCTGCCCCCTGCCCAAGCCCTCCCCCCACTGCATGACTGGCATCACTGCTCCCCCTGCACGTTCCTCTGCATCACACCCCACTTTTTTGAAAAAGTGGGCATTTGTCCTGTTTACTGTTGCCAACTGATCAAGTCAGTAAGAGCAAATGGGACAAATGCCCACTTTTGCCAAAAAAGTCGGGATGACCAGGACAGGGCTTAAAAAAGGGACAGTCCTCACTAAAAAAGGATGTATGGTCACCCTACCTATCCCTCAGAGCAGTGGGAAAGTCCCTAGAGGTCAGGTTAGGCCCAAACAGTAATTTAGTTTACAAAATCTAGTTTCAGTGGAAATGCTTTCATGCGCTTTTAAAAATTTCATTTATGAAACAATTTTTTTGCAGTGTTTGCAACCCAAACACTGTAGCACTGAAGGTGTTCACCAAGAAGGTGAACAGGATTAGGAACAAAACTGACTACTTTGATTAATCTATTTTCATAGTCCAAGTAAATATTATAATAAGAGAAATAAAGAAATAATATGAACAGTAATGAGTAAATTAGTAAATTTAGATTTTTATAATTATTTCAGTTGTAATAATCCATGGTACTGAGAGTAGTAACTGAGAAACATAGATTTTAAGGTAAAAAAGGACCATTATAATCATCTCCTTTGACGCCTGTATAACCATAGGCCATAGAATTTCACCAAGTAGTTTCTCCATCAAGCCTATAACTTCTGGTTGAGCTAGAACATATCTTTTAGGAATACAACCAGTCTTGATTTAAAGACTTCAGGGGTATGTCTTCACTGCATCTGGCCGTGTGCCCTCTCAGCCCAGGCAGTCAGATTTGCACTAGCTCTGCATGAGCTAACATGTTAAAAATAGCAGCATGGATGTTGCTACACGTGGTGGCTTGGTCTAGCTGCCTATATCCAATCCTGCCCAACCCCCTGGGTCCGAGCCCAGGTGGCTAGCCCAAGCCACTGTTGTCATGCTGCAACATCCACACTCTGCATAGGCTAGCATGAGTCTGTCTACTTGGGAGGCATGCTCCCAGATGGAGTGTAGACATACCCCAAGTGTTGTAGAATCCATTACATCCCTAAGTACATTATTCCAACAGTTAGCTAAACTCTCTGGAAAAAAACCGCACATCTTATTTCCAGTCTGAATTTGTCTAGTTTCAACTTCCAGCCTTTGCATCTTTCTATACCTTTCTCAGTTAAACTAAGGGTACGTCTTCACTTACCGGAGGGTCCGGCGGCAGGCAATCGATGTTCTGGGATCGATTTATCACGTCTGGTTAAGACACGATAAATCGATCCTGGATCGATCCCGGAAGTGCTCGCCGTCGACGCCGGTACTCCAGCTCGCCGAGAGGAGTACGCGGCATCGACGGGGGAGCCTTCCTGCCGCGTCTGGACCCGCTGTAAATTCGGACTAAGGTACTAAGAATTCAGCTACGTTATTAACGTAGCTGAATTTGCGTACCTTAGTCCGAAGTGGGGGCTTAGTGGGGACCAGGCCTAAGAGAGGTTCACAACAATAATACATGACAAATGCAGCAAAGAAATGGTTTGCCGTAAATGGTCTGACTAGCTCTTAATTGCAGGTGTAGAATTTCAAGTTGTCTTTAGCCAAATATATATAATCTGCCACTATAATTGTTGAATTATCTTCCAGGTACCTGGCTTAAGAGACATCATGCCTTTATCTGCCTGGCAATAATCTGGGCCTATGCTACGTTTTGGGCTACGGTGCCATTTGCTGGTTTGGGGAACTATGCTCCTGAGCCATTTGGAACCTCGTGCACTCTGGATTGGTGGCTGGCTCAGGCTTCAGTGGCTGGACAGGCATTTATTCTGAATATTCTCTTCTTTTGCCTCTTGCTCCCAACTGCAGTGATTGTGTTTTCCTATGTTAAAATCATTGCAAAAGTCAAGTCGTCCGCCAAAGAAGTTGCTCATTATGACACCAGGATTCAAAACAATCATGTCCTGGAAATTAAATTGACCAAGGTAGGTAGGAGAAAACGGTCAGACCATCAAACCAGGCGGGAAGAACCATAGATCCTATAATTGGTACTGAATATCTGTGAAGCTCTAATGTGTCACAAGCACAAGATTGTGGTGGCCTGCGATGTTAGTTGCAGCCCTTACTCTCCCTGTATCTGCAAGGCACAGTTGAAGGAAGGGGAGGATGGAGTTGTGATTAAGGCTCTTAAAATGAGACCCCGGAGAGGGGTCCAGTCTGAAGCTGTGTAACCTTGGACCAATCATTTGATTGTTCTGTGCCTCGGTTTCCCCGTCCGTAAAATGGGGATAATAATACTTCCATACCTCACAGGTGTGGTCATGAAGATAAATTTAAAAATATTTGTGAGGCACTCAGGTATCACTGTGAAGGGGGCCATAAAATAAATAGATGAAAAGCGGGTTTTTATTACTGGTGAAATAAAACTATGGAAAATTTGTATTCTTCTATCAAAGAAGATACACGTACAAGAAAATGTGGTGATCATGTGAATTTCTTTAAGATTCACAATGAATTTTTTTGTAAAAATTAAGGTCCGGACAAAATGCCAAGATGGCCTCTGTTGTCACAATTTTTGGTTACCCCGGCCTTATTTTTGCAGTTCTTTTTTTAAGAAACCCTCCCAGAACCTTGGGAATATAGTAGTGTGTTCCCCATCTGACTGTACCCTTTTTCTGTTTGGCAAACATGTCAGCCACGAGCTTGGCTGACACTGGAGGATTTAACTGGGAACCTCCAGTGCTAAAACCATCAGTCTCTAGAGTCTGAGACAAAGAGACAAAGTTTCCAGAAATAGAATCACATCTTCAGTGGCTCAGATATGGGGGGAGGGACGGGACTTGTAACACACTGACTAGTAGTTACATATTTATTTTCTTTCCAGGTTTGGAAATGAACTGAAATTAACAAGTGGTTGCAACGCATATAATAGATTTATAGATTCACAGAGTCTAAGGCAAGAAGGGGCCATTATAATCACCTAGTCTGACCTTCTGGCCAAAGAACTTCCCCAAAATAATTCCTAGAGCAGCTCTTTTAGAACAACATCCTGTCTGATTTAAAAATGGTCAGCGATGGAGAATCCACCGCGACCCCTGGCAAATTGTTCCAGGGATTAATTACCTTCACCGTTAAAAACGCATGTCTTATTGCCAGCTGAATGTATCTAGCTTCAACTTTCAGACGTTGGATTGGGTTACATCTTTCTCTGCTAGGCTGAAGAGTTCATTATTAAATATTTGTTCCCCATGTAGATACTTATAGATTGTAATCAAGTCACCCCTTAACCTTTTTGTTAAGCTAAATAGTTTGAGCTCCTTGAATCTATCACTATAAGGCTTGTTTTCCAATCCCTTAATCATTCATGCAGCTCTTCTCTGAATCCTCTCCAGTTTATTAACATCCTTCTTGAATTGTAGACACCAGAACTGGACACAGTATTCCACTCACAGTTGCACCAGTGCCAAATATAGAGGTAAAATAACATATCTACTCATACTTAAGATTCCCCTGTTTATGCATTACAGACTTGCACTAGCTCTTTTGACCATGATGACACACAGGAAGCTCATGTTTAGAGCCCAGCAAATCCGCTGATATTCACTTTATATCCACAGAGATCCGCATCCCTGGATGCAGATGTGGATATCCGCGGACCATTTTTGTGGATCGTGGGTGGATGCGGATCCAAATTTTATATCGAAAGCCCTGCAAATCTGCGGATATCCGCTTTATATCTGCCAATACCTGTGGATCATTTTTCGGATCGTGGATTCGATGTGGATACAAATTTTGTATCTGCGCAGGACTCTATTCATGTTCAGCTGATTATCCACCACGATCCTCACATCTTTTTCAGAGTCACTGCTTCCCAGGATAGAGTCCCATATCCTGTATGTATGGCCTACGTTCTTTGTTCCTACATGTATACATTTACATTTATCTGTATTAAAATACATATTGTTTGCTTGTGTCCAGTTTACCAAGAGATCCAGATTGCTCTCAATCAGTGAACTCTCCTCTTTATTATTTACAACTCCACCAATTTTTGTTTCATCTGAAACTTTATCAATGATGATTTTATGTTTTCTTCTAGGTCGTTGATTAAAATGTTAAATAGCGTAGGTCCCTGCGGACCCCACTAGAAACACATTCACTTGATGATCATTCCCCATTTACACAATTACATTTTCAGATCTATCAGTTAGCCAGTTTTAAATTCATTTAATGTGTTCCATGTTAATTTTATAACTTTCTAGTTTTCCAATTAAAATGTTGTGTGTACCAAGTCAAATGCCAGACAGAAGTCTAAGTATGTTATGTCAACATTACCTTTATCAACTTTTAATCTCATAAAAAAAAGATATAAAGTTAGTTTGACAGGATCTGTTTCCCACAAACCCATGCTGATTTACATTAATTACATTACCCTCCTTTAATTCTTTATTAATTGAGTCCCATACCAGTCACTCCATTATTTTGCCCTGGACTGATGTCAGACTGACAGGCCTATAATTTCCCGAGTCATCCCATTTACATTAGCTTTCTTCCAGTCTTCTGGAACTTCCCTAATGCTCCAAGACTTACTGTAAATCAACATTAACAGTACAGCGAACTCCTCAGGCAGCTATTTTAAAACTATTGGATGCGGTTATCTGGACCTGCTGATTTAAAAATGTCTAACTTTCATAGCTCTTGTTTAACATCCTCCAGAGATACTAGTGTAATGGAAAGAGTGTTATCATCACCATATGATGAGACTATATAATCTCTTTCCCCTCAAATACAAAATAGAAATACTTATTGAACACTTCTGCCTTTTTTGCATTACTATTGATAATTCTATCACTTCCATCTAGTCACGGGCCAATACTATTGTCAAGATTTTGTTTGTTCCTAATATATTTTTAAAATTCTTTCTGATAAACATGTATCTACATAGTATACAAAGCCAAAACATCGTTGGGAATTCAGACCACCTGCAGCATAAACAGTCAAGCTAACACAGCCATGGGAATAGTTTTGGTTAGTTAGCTGCTGCTGCCTTGATAGTAGAAAGAACCCCAAATTCTGATGGCCTTATTTACAGAGATACAGTATACCTGCAGTGCTGCTTTTACAATCATAATTTGCACTTCTATAGAACCTTCTGTGCAAAGATCTTGATTCTAAATCTGGAAGATTTAGATCCAGTATTACAGAAATACGAAATCAGCTGTTGTTATGAGATCTCTGTCATCTGGAAGAGCAGACATTCATGTGGATCTGTACACTGGAAACTATGTCCCATCCAGTTCCAGATCCTATCTGGAACCCAAAATGTTGGGGCAGGTTTGGGTCTGGGAAGTGGAATCCCATCATCCATCTTCAAAATTTCAAAAGGAGGTTGAATTTGAGTTTCCCTTTTTGGCTTGTGAATGTTAGATGGCAAAAAAAAAAAAAAGGAGGGGGGGAAGGTTTAAAATCTTTATGTAATTTACTTCTTCAAGAATATTGAAACCACATCCACTAAGAATATCAACACATGGAACAGAGGTTGAGAATAACACAATATCTGAAAGGCTTTAGCTGGCTCGAGAACAGAGCATTCACTGAAGATTTGTATTGTAATCCTTCTAATGACTTTTCCCAAATGACTATTCATGTACTATTATCTATTAGGATGCTGTGCAATACCGTATGAATTATGGTAGTGCTGTCAAACATGAACTTCAGAATACAATATCATGTGATGCAATATGGAACCTGTATCATATTACATATAGGTATGGGCACGCTTGTTCAGGTAAAATAAATGACTCAAAACTTTAGCTCAGTTAGAGTATTTTTTGACTTTTGAACAAACTGTATGTAGATCTTCTTTTCCTGACCTCCTATGAAAAACTTTTATGATTTAATAGGAATGTAACCAATAAGGTTCTGCAGAAATTAAATAGGATTCTATAGAAATTATTCACAAAACGTCAGAATTTAACAGAGAATGAGATCCCTGCTATGAGCTGGTTTAAAAAAATCTATAGAAGTGTTAAATTCTCAGCAGTGTCATTTTGGAATGGACCAGTGAAATACAACAGTTATGGCTATCCCTATAGGTCTGTCAATGCATGTGTTTTGCAAGTGACCAATGCACATTCAGTTTCTCACCTGTTCACCCTCCAAAGTAATCATATTGTCTGCATTTTCTCAGTGGAAGATAGGGAGGGTTCTTATTAGCTGCCTTAGAAGCCTCTTGTTCTCTGGATGCCATCCGGGGCACAGGGGTGCCGACTTAGGACTCTAACCCTCCTAGTACAACCAACCCTCCACCATGACCTATTGCCAGCTGCTCCCAGGGTGCTGGTGATGCCGTCACACAACATCAGCACTGCCTGCAAGGAAGGTAGAATCCTTGTTAACTCCAGCTGCTGCAGTCTGTTTTCCTCTCCCTAGTCCTTTGTCCTCTCTGCACTGACTGGCAATGGGGGACAGAGAGAGGAGAGAGCTATAGCTTCTCCCATACACACAACACTTGGATAGCAACCTAGTTTTCTTTCTGAAACATTAACAGGAAATACTTCAGCCCAGTCCTGGAAATCTCTCTGGAGACCTTGGTCTTGCAAGGTGTGTAGTGTGATTGCAAAGGGGTTCAAATGAGTGGTCGGAAGAATGGCCTTGAGCTTTCACCCTAAGGCTGGGCTCTAGGAGACCAGAATTCTGTTCATGTCTTCGCCACTGGTTTGCTCATTTGGCTCCTTTGCTGATTTGGCAAATCACTTAGGCCAAAATTTTCAGACGTGGGCGTACAGAGTTGGGCACCTAAATCCCTCTTTAGGCCTTTCAATAAGTAGCTTGATAGTGACAGGTGCTGAGCACTAGCCAGCTCCCACTGACTTCAAGCCTTAGACACCCCACTTTGAAATTTTGGGGCTCAGTCTCACTGGACCTCGATTTCCCATTTATGAAAGAGACAAAACAATACTTCCAGCTTCTCCGAGGTGTTGTGAGGCTCAGTGAATGTGTATCTGGAAAGCAATTGGGGGAAGAGGCTGTAGAAGTAAAAAGTATTTCAGATAAGCGCCAAACCTGTGGCTTAAGCAGCACAAATTTTTAAATGAGCCTAGATCACTTTAATGTTATCCAGGACTTTGGCATTTCAAATCATTTCTCTTGGTGTTAAATTCCCAAGAACAAGGTGACTTTTGTTTTATAAAGGATATATATAAATATCCTTTTCTACATATCACCCCCTCTTTGTTCTCTCTCTATTTATATATATGTAGTAAATACTCATTTAATTTAACTTCAAAGAATCATAATTCACTGACTTTTTGTTCAGTTTCTTCACTTTTAGTCTGGCCTAATGAGCTCAAGGAAAGATTTGGGCCAACAGAATCCCTATTTGTTCTATAGATGTCAAGCAAAAGTACAGCTGGAAATAGATAAGGAAAAGTGAAATAAATTACAGCATTGGTTCATACTGCAGACCTTATCTGATGCGGGGGTCATTTTTCCATTCTGTTGCATGCACCGTCCCATTGTCTGCAACGCTGGGAAATACGAGTACTGTGCAGTGCGGTGCATCAATAAAGACCATTCGCTTAAGTAACTGTTTTCTCTCCTTTCTTTTTCTTCTCACAAGGTGGCAATGTTGATCTGTGCAGGATTTCTAATCGCCTGGATCCCATATGCCGTGGTATCAGTGTGGTCAGCTTTTGGACAGCCAGACTCAGTGCCCATTCAAGTTTCAGTCATCCCAACCTTGCTTGCAAAATCGGCAGCTATGTACAACCCAATTATTTACCAGGTCATTGATTGTAAATTTTCCTGTTGCCGCTCCTTGCAGAAGAAGAGCTCTTTGAAGAAATCCAGGTAAATTTTGGAAAAAAGTGGCCAGTCTGAAAATAGTTTGATTTCTGGATACTCATTTCCTTACTCCAGAATCTTTACAGAGCATAAGCACTGCAATCCTGGAATACAGGAATGGTCCACCTGGCCTAGTTTCTTATTTTTTTACCTAGTGGCCAGTGCTGGATACTGTATAGGAAGGTTTCACTCCTCCCCTACTAATACACTTAGCTGTACCACATCTGTAGTATAAAATGAGGGACAATTTCTTCTTGGCTGTAACTGGTGATCAGCTTGTCATCTGAAGCACAGAAGTAGTTTGTGTAGGTCCTGATTCAAAAAACAGAAATGAATGGAAAGATTCCCTTTCACTTCAGTGGGCTTTGAATCAGTCACATACTCTTACCATCCTACCTAATAGATTTCAGAATAGCAGCCGTGTTAGTCTGTATCCGTAAAAAGAACAGGAGTACTTGTGGCACCTTAGAGACTAATAAATTTGTTAGTCTCTAAGGTGCCACAAGTACTCCTGTTCTTTCTACCTAATAGAAGCACTCAACCCTGAAAGGTACTGAATGCCCTCAATTCCCAGTGAAGTCAGTGGGAGCTGTGTGTCCTCAGCACCTTCCAGGATCTATCCCTAAATGCAGGTGTTTTTCTTATTCACAGAAGTGCCTAATTAAAGAAATAATCTTTTGAAGCTATTTGCTTTAATGATATAATTGAGGCAAAACCAGCCCTTACAAGCCTGCAGTGTCCATGGGGATGCATTGGGTGTATCCTAGGCAGAATTTGGCCTCTTAGCTGTATGGGATGCTAAAGTGTTGGCACCAGCTATGCATTTTATTTTCCTTATTGACAAAAAATGTCAGTTTGTTGTTCACCACCAAGCCTGTGGAGAATGGTGTTGAGGGCCCAGCAATGCTGGGAGATTTAAGCATCAGCATTTCAGATTCCAACAGCATCCTCTGGTGCGGGAGTACAAAATGGAATTTTTCACAGAATGATAGAAATTACAGATCAGATCCTTTTCATCATCCATTCCCTTACCAATTAGGGAACTGCACCCTATAGTGCATTTTCCTGCGTGTTGTCCAGCCTAGGTTTAAATATCCCAAGCTGCAGGCCAGCCCCCATTAGCACTAGCCTGGAGCAAGGGCACCGGAGCCCTGCCAAAAATGGGAGGTGGGGTGGGGCCCCTGCCTGAGGTGGCGGCAAAGGCAGCCCCCTGCCCGTGTCCCAGGCCCCCTCCCAGGGTAGGTGGAGGGACCCAGGCTTAGGTGGAGGGGCCTTGGAGCCGCAGTCCGGCCATGATTAGAGCTGGGCGGGCAGCTGTGGGGAGCCATGGTGGCGGACCCTCTACTTGACCATGGTGCAGGGGGCCTGAGCAGTCCCCGGTCTGCATCCCACTCCCTGCCTGCCCGGGGCAGACGGAGAGTCCACGACTCCTTACAGCTGCCTGCGTGGCTCTTACCGTGGCCGGGCTGCAGCTCTGAGGCCCCCGTGTCCAGCCAGAGCTGGGCCGTGGGGAGCCAGCTTGGAGCTGCGGACCCTCCTCTTGCCCCAGGTGGCCGGGGAGCCCAGGGGGTGGGGACATGGGTCGGGGGCTGCTCTCAGCCCCCACTCCCTGCACTCCAGGCAGGTGGAGGGTCTGCCGCGGTTCCCCACAGCTGCCCGGGCTCCATGCTGTCATGGCTGGGGGTGGGGCCTCGGAGAGGACAGAAAGAGGGTGGGGTCTGCTCTGGCAAAAAGTGGACGGGCCAGGTCCATCCACTTTCAAAAAGTGGGAGGGCTATAGCCCCCTGGCCCTGCCCAGTTCTGGTGGTGGGAAGCAGGAGGGAGTCTGGGGGTGGAGTGTGGGTGGGGCCACGCAGACAGTTTGGGTAGGCTGAACCTTCCCCTGCCTTTGATACCCACGACCCATGAGTCAGGGGTATGGCTTTTTACACCCCTCACCTACATAGCTATCCCGATATAACTTTGCCATGTAGGCCAGGCTTTAGAATGCATCCCTAGTCTACAACTCTCTTTTACATGGAAACAAGAACCACCTTAGCAACCGGATTTAATGGAGGTTGTCTCCCTCTGCCACAATACCACTCTGCTAGTCTATATATTGGTTTTGGCCCTTATATTTCATGTGGAAGGGCTTGGGGAGTGTAAGGACTGAGTGTGTGTCCAGCCTTTGTGCTGGGGTTCCACGTGGGAGGCAGGTTTTTTACAGTCTCTCCCAGCTTTTATACCTGCAGAAGGGCTGCTCTAGCCTTAGGTGAGGACTTGAGGATTTCTGTATGTCTGGTGATGAATAAAATGATCTGAAGGAATGGAACCTTAACCATTTATAAAGCCAGGTTATTTCAGGCAATATGACCACATATTTCCTTCCTGTAGGCTGTATACGATATCTGGAAATAGAGAGCCAACAGCAATGAACGAAACCCACCTGGAGGTGTGACGGCATATGGACAGGCGTATGGAAACATGCTGACAATCCTTTTCTTCTCAGTTTCTTCCTTTGCAAATTAGGTAAAATACATTGGCAGATTTATTTTAGTATTTCTTTTCCCCTCTAACCTACTACCATGTAATTTTTCACCCTAACTGGAGTATCAACATTAGAGCTGGGCAAATAGAAGAAGAAAATACAGAGAATATTCATTTGAATTAAAACTGTGAATTCACTTTGGCTGGATTCAAAACCCTTTTTATTTATTTTTCTGTGCACGTACTATGAGTGACTCTTTTCTACATGGAAAGTGAAAGTCTCATGAGTACTCATGCTATGCATTTGTAAAGCTATCTTGAAATCGCTTGATTTCCCTCTTCCTCTTTATCAACGTTATCCAATCCAAGGAGCAGAAATTAATCATGCACCACAAAGAGCCAAAATTGAAGTGCGGTGTTTGCCAATAGCTCCTCTGGTTGAAATGCATTTGCAAATGAAATCTTGAATCATGAACAAATTTGTAAAGAGAAGCAAAGTCTATTCCTGGAAAATCCACAAATAAGAAAAGGGGTTAAATTGGTCCAGTAATTTATTGGTACAATAGTTTGCCCATCTCTAAGCACTAGAAATGCTGGGCGAAAATGCTGGGCGATGTGATAGAAATGCTGATAACCAGCAGAAGGTCAAATGTATAAAACAGATATTCCATGCCCACCGCGCACACAAACACACACACACTCTCTCTCTCACCGCTCTTATACCCATCCCTTATGATGTTGGTTTTATATATACAATGGCAAAGCTCTCTCCTGACCTTAACTATAAACCCACACACACAGCTTCCATAATAATTATTTACAGTTTGGTTCAGACAGCACCTTCCGCTTCTTTTCTGGATTGACCATTGAAATGTAGGCACCATTACACAGACAGACACTAAAGGTAAATATTTGACATTTGTATATTATTTCATCAAGAAAACCTTATTAAAATGCAAAATAAATTAATTTCAAATGAAAGCAGCTTTCATATTTAATATAAAATCTCAAGAGTGTGGTTATTCCTAAAGGTTTCAGAGTAGCAGCCGTGTTAGTCTGTATCCGCAAAAAAGAAGAACAGGAGGACTTGTGGCACCTTAGAGACTAACAAGTTTATTAGAGCATAAGCTTTCGTGGACT